AGTTTTTACCCCAGGCTAGTGGGTGTGCTCCAGGAAGGGGGTTGGCCAGACCAGAGGCACCCCCAGGGAGGCACTTGGATCCTGAAAGGTAGTCATGTACAGTGAGGTGCGTGGTTCAATGCAGGAGCACCCCCTACTGGCCTACCACAGTGGTGGCGGGGGCAGGCAGCCATGACGGTGTTAGTGTCAGGGGGAGGGGGGGGCCGGGGGGGGAAAAAAATCAAGGACATACATAAAGGCATCCAGTTTCATGTCAATAGAGGACAGAGGGCTAGAAAACTGGACCGTCCTCTATAAAACCAGACAAATGGCCACTCTATACTCAGCTTGTGGCCACCCCACACAGATGATCTGCCCAAATTGTAGTCCTCCACCATCCCAGGATACAGTGCCCACTCCCCCACCCTCCTGTTCTGTATGGACAAACTTTCCTCCCCTCCCCCCAAAAAAACTCTACTGCCCACGAGTTGGTTGTGACACCAAGTCAACTCCCACTCTCCTCCCAGGGGTATGCCTTCCCACTTCCAAGAGTGCAACCCTGTGCAAACAGCCTGCAGAGCACTTGTCAGCTAGCTTGGTTGCAGGGGATGGATGGGTCCAGGAATGGGGTCTAGTGGGGTTTGTGGGGGAAAATAAGGTATGGGGCTAGACTGGGTCCCCATGAGCTGGGGCTTCCTTTTGGGGCAGGGGCAGTAGCTCCCCCAAAAGTGCCTTTCCTCACTATTCCTAGGCAGCAGAAAGCTAGGGCTAATGGGGCTTAGTCCCCCCAAACAAATTTTGTGACAGTCAGCAACAGCAGCAGCACCGCAGTGCTGTTATCTTGTAGTGCCTGGCAACACTCAGCATTTAGCCAGGCCAACATCCTACACATGCCACCACAACCCACTGCTGCACTGTCATGCCCAGCACCCCTGCCACATGCTTACCAGCCCCCCACCTCAATCCCCCCAAATAATATTTTCTTTTGCCACCTATGTGTCCTTCCAGCTACCCCAGGAAGTATGACCAGCACTCCTTACACTCCAATCCCAAATCACAATTATTAAAACATGTCAGCTTCTTTAATTTACTTCCTCTTTATTTCTTTTTCAATTCTTTTTATTTTATCCTTCAGTGGCTGACTTTCTTCATTTCACCACCCTTCCCCCACCCCCATTTCCTTTCCACCTCCCATTTCATTACTCATCCCCATCCCTTTAACTATCTACCTCCCAGTTTCATTTTCCTGCCCCCTGCCCAACCCATCTCTCACACATACCAACCCAGAGCAGGGATAGAATCTTGTCTATAGTATTAGTCAGGCCTCTGTTCACCAGCCCTACAGTGACAAGTCACAGATGTGCAAGAAGGGAACAATCAGAGAAGATTTTAAGCCTTAAGGGCTAAGCACAGACAGTCAAAAATCCCAAGGCTGAATCAATTCAATTTTTTCAGGTTAGTCTAAGCTGCATAGATTGAACCAACAGACATTCACTTTTGATTTTGGAAAAGCAGCCACATATCTGCAGTGGCCTGGGCCAGAAGCTAGGGGGCTGCTAGAGCACATTTACCTGCTTGGCTGGAGCAGACAGCTTGGGCCAACACTAGCCTGCCCACCTTGCAAGGAGGGGGGGGAGGGGGGACTGGTGGGGGAGATGCAAAGTATGTTGGGATGCTGAGAGACTAAGTTAATTTGAATCTGGAGGGGATCTGGGACAGAAGTTCAATAAATCAATTTAACCTAAATCACTTACGTCTGATACTACATCCATCCAGGTTTATCTTAAACCAATTTTAGCCATTTTGAAAGTGGTTTATGTGCACTGAACTTCTGTTGTGTTACAGATCTGAACTGGTTTCTGATCACTTATACTGGTTTGTGTCATTTCTGTCCCTAGCCAAGGTGTAACCTCTCCAAACCTGAGCTAGCACTAACACTGATCAACATTTGAGGAGCTCAAAGTGCAATGTGTAACAAGGCTCAAATACTCCAGAATCCATGGTGATGAACTATCCTATCACATGGGTGCACATTTAATAACCCTTATGTTTACATTCATCCTATTGCCTCTCTCATTAAATAAAAGGGCCATTTATTTAATGTAGTCTTCACCTACCACCTCTCTTTCTTGAATTTCTCCTCTCTTTCTTTAAATTTCTCTGTAACCATTGACCCTCAGCTTCTTTCATGCAGTTGTCTGAACTTTTAGGTCTTTGGAGTTGAAGATTTATCTGCTCCCATTTATCTTCTTCCTGACTTCCTTCTTTTGCTGTGGTACTTGATTCTCTCCGTTCTTCATTCTCCAACACTGTTGAATCTTTCTAGCACTGTTCTCTTATTGCAAGCTCCATCACACCAACCACAATCTTGACTTTTCTGCTCCTGTTCTCTTACTGCTTTGTCTCTCAGGTATGAATCTCATGATAGGGCCAACTTCTCCATTCATTCTATTCTCATTTAGTTGTGCCATCTTTATGGATGTACAACTCTACTTCTCTAACTTAAATGAATCCTGTGCCCACAATACTAGCTGCCTTTTCCAACCTTTCTTTATGCCTCCAACCTTTCCCTTCTTCCACTTCTTTATCCACACAGGATTTTATTGATTTCTTTCAAGAGAAAAATTGAGAAATCACATAAAGTGTTCTTCTTTCTCTCTTTTCCATCGTAAGTTCTTTCCTCTTATCCCCACATCAGAGAAACTTTTGTTTATGTTTCTTATCTGCTGTCCTCTTCTAACATCCTCAACCCATCCCACATCCTGAACTCCCTTCAACCCCATTCTCAAGTCTATTTGATCTCTTCATTAATATCTCACTTTCTTCTGTTATTTTTTACTTTACAATACTTCCCCCTTTACAATACAATGCTTTAGTGCCTTCAGTTTCAAAAAGAAAAATGTCTGAAGTCTTCCAATGAGGGCCTTCCTACTCCTAAATAGCACCTGAGCTATATTTATGTCAGTTGAGAGATAGGTATGTCCTTTGGAGCAAGAGGCAGATCAGTCCAAACTTTGGACTCTTCAATAGAGTACAATAGTGAGACACGGTAAGAACAAGAGTGATTAATTGCCTCATTAGCCACTTACAACCTGGACAGGAAATCTGTGCCAAGTCTATTGCTGAGATACCAAGAATGGAAGGGGTAGCCTTACCTAATGATGTTTATTTATTAATTACTAATTTTCTCAAGAGTTGGAGTGATAATGTGAGGAAGGATATTTCATATTCCAATTTTTGGCTATATCCATCCCAAGTAAACAGTTTGTGCAATAAAAGACATCACCCACACAGCTCCTTGCCTCTGACTTTCTTTATCCCATCTCCCTCCCCCACACAAATTATCTTAGTTATAAACACTTATCATTTGACAGTGGGGAGGTATCACTCATTCAGGGCATTCTTGACATGATTTAACTCTCCAGGTTCCTTGGAAAAGATTGAGTTCCCCCCACCCCCTGCATTCTCCCATCCCCAAAAGAATATGCAGATATTCAACTCAGACCATTTTACTGCCAACAGACTCTTAAAGGAGTGTTATGATGTTTACTCTTAAAAACTGCCACCTAATACTTATACAGTTATTGCAGTCTTTCTGGCTAAGGAGAAACAGATTTTCTGCAGCCTTTCAATGGTGACTGAGATGTACTTAAGCCAAAACCTGCAAACCCAGTCTGATTCTAACCTTTCCCAAAGTGGTGTGACCTGGACAATAAGAAAAGTAAACCCTAGCCCCCAAACATTTGATTCTAGTGTTCAGCTCTCCCTGCTCCCACTGAAGACAAGAGATGCACAGGTTCTACCAGGATCAAGCCCAAACTGTTTGAAAAGAGTCACTAATGATGAACTTCTCCTGACAGCCCTCTAGGTTAATACATATTTACTTCTTAGGGCTCCAGGCTGGGGCATCAGAAACAGACAATCAAATTTACTTTCTCTTTGCTTTAGGGTTTTTGATATCTTTGGTGTGTGCTTCAGGGTAAACTGAGGCTTTATTTTTATATGTATGTAGCAAAAATATCCTGTCAGCTATTTCAGGATTCCCACAGTGTTTTAAAATGGTCCCCATGGAGAGGATATAGAGGGGGTGTCATTTCCCCTTTGCCAAGAAAAAGAAATATACCAGGTTCTGGGAAAGAAGGGGTCCACAAAAAAGAGAAGGAAAGATAAAACAGCAAAAAGAAAAATGAAGCCCTGGAAGACAAGGGTATTAAAAAAAACAAACCCCAAAGCCCTCAGTGGAGCAGTGAGCACTTGATAGAAGAAAAGATAAAGATAAAGGTCTTGCTTCAAAAAGACAGCTAAAGCTAAAGTGTATCAACAAGGGATCCAGCTTCTACAGCTAGAGTAGATGTATTTATTTCAGAAATATACATACATAAATGCAAGCAGAACAGGGTCAAGACAGGTTATGTTGTGCCAAACCTCTCAGGAACAGGACAACTCAGCCAGACCAGCAATCTGGCTCCCCAGTGAAACAGCTTCAGCATATTCTGAAACTCAGTTAACACACCAGGCGTTATGCATTTTTAGGGGTGTGCGAAATGAGCCCCATTCAATTTGGATTCAGCATGAATCAAGGATAGTGATTCGATTAATTGATTCGGATCACTGTTCCCGATTTGATTTGGCTGAATCCAAATCTGAAGATTCGATGCTGATTCAGAGTATGAGCAATTCAGCCATAGACAGCTTTAAATGTTTTTTCTACATACCTCAAGGTACCAGGCATGGGTCATAAATGCTGAGATGGTAGGGTGGATGGAGCATCCCACAGGAGCATGGGAGGGGGAGGGGGGGCGCATGCTTGGCAGCAAACCCAGAAGTGGACCAGAAGTACTTCCAGTCCACTTCCAGGTCTGCCCCCCCAGCATCTGCTCGGCTCAGTGATTGGGAGGCCCTCCCATCTCAGTGATCAGTTGCAGGGGGACCCTAGGTTCCCCCCCCCCGACCCAGGAGGCACCAGTCACTGAGCTGGGGGGCGAATGCAGGGGGGGGCCCAGCATGTTCAGTATTCACAAACAATCTGGTACCTAGGGATATGTAGAAAACACATTTAAAGCTGTGTCTATATCCAAATCATTGAATCTTTCCAAATCTCTCCAAATCGATTTGGAGGGTTCCGGTTCAATTCAGAGAGATTAAAGGGTCTCCTGATTCAATTTGGATTCAGAGATTCAGCCACCAAGTTGGGCCGGATCTCTACCAAATCAAATCAGTGACTGAAGCTTTGCACAGCCCAAATCCCAAATAACAGTAAAGGTCTAAAAGCACCTTAAGATTTACATTACAACCTGTTGGACCCTGTCAGACCATCATCTTCATCCTCATCTACTGTCCTTCAGTGTGGCTCTATTGGAATCTGTAGGTTAATTCACTTTACACCAATGGAAAGATTGGTCTCATTACTTTCAAATAAAAGTAAAAGATTTTATTTAATAGGGACATTAGGAGATATGTATCTACACTGTTAAGTAAAATATGAGTCAGAACACAGATCCAGCCAGTATAAAATCCCCATTAGACTGAGAGCTTCCTTCCCTTAAAAAAAAAAAAATATCTGCTTGATACAATGTTCAAGAATTTTTTTTTTATTTTTTTTGGGGGGGGGGGAGGGGAGATTCTACTAATGTAAGGGAGGTTTGAAAGCATTAAAGATGTAAAAAAAAAAATTCTCAACTGATCACAAAGAAGCATCAAGGTACTATTTGCTTGAGAATAGCTTCCTTTTTCACTTGTAAAAAACACTACAGGAAATTACTGCCATGAAGAAAGAACAACAAGAAAAAGCTTCCCAGTTTTCATTCTCCACTGTATTTTGGCCAAAACCAAAGTCCATTTCCATATACTAACTGGGAGCAGTTATCCACAAGAGTGGATGAATACACAAAGTCCAACCTTTGGACAGAAACAAATTGTGCACATACCTCTTTGTTGTTCATAGAGTTTTCAGAGGTGCTGGGCCAGAGAGGGTCCAAGGTAAATCTTGTGGAAGAGTCTGTTAAGTAAGTTTCTCCATAGCTTATAGGGAAAGGAGTCCTGGCATCCCCACTTCTATTGTTCATTCCTTGTCCATTTGGACTATCACCTGATATTTCTCTGTGTAACACATCACCCGAGAACATCAAATACTGAGCATCTGAATGTTCAAAGCCTATATGGAAATTCAACTTGTTCTCATTTTCTTCCACAACTGAGCCAAATTCGCCTTCAATTTGACTTGAGCTGTTTCTTCTATATGCATCATAGTTGTAGTATGTTTCGAGGGGATATGTTGGGTAGGAATCTTCAACACTGAAGTTATAACAGCCTGGTAACAAAGAAGGTCTGAAACCAACTGCTGGTGGCCCTGTGGTTTGTTGCCAAGGAGATACAGGACTTCCAAAGTAAAATTCACCATGAACCCGAGGTTGATTTACTCCATAAAGATGCTGTTCTGTTGCATTTAAGTCAAATAAGTTTGATGTGAAAAAACTCAGTTTCTTCAGGAACATGTGAATCTGATGGACCATAAAAGGACATTTCACTGCTGACTTCACCAGCTATATGATCCAGGCCTAGGCTGACCTGGCTAGCAGGAACAAAATGATACATGGAGTAAGATGTTTGCCCCTCATATTGCTCTTTATTTAACTCCTCGTGTGTCAAAGGCGGTTTCCAAAAGTGCGCCATAGCTGCTTCAATTTATGAATCTTATTGACACTTTGGGATTATGGTAAAATTCCCCCAAGTCACAGTTGCTAGTGCTGCATAATGTATGGTATCATTCACTGAAACAACAAATTAAGTCAAATTAAAAAAACAAACAAAATAATCCAATGTGTTGAAAATTGTACAAGTGACATTAATATTAGCGTGCTCTCCACAGATGATATTCACTCTTGTACTAGATACTTTGTGACAAGACCCACCTAGCTATTACTAAATTCCTGAATAGAAATTACATCATCCTTAGAAATGTATAGGCTGAAATATCCATTTCAGCAGTTTCCAAAGATTTTTTTTTACATTTCTTCTTCTTGTGGTTATTTTAAACTTAAATGGAACATTATATTCAAGGAACTCATACCCTTTACAAACAACTAGGCAGCTTCACAATATCACTGCAAGACTCACTAGTGTCCAGCTCCCTACTGTGTCTTTGAAAGCTTCCACCTATTATACCAGTTTTATATAGGTGTATTTTGAGGCACAGAGAGCTGAAGGTCATGCTGTGAGTCAATTAAAAAGTCAGCAATAAAATCAGTGTCCTTGACCCCAAAACCATTCTTTAAAAATTAAACACACACACAATTTGGAATTACCATGTAAACCAAGATAAAATATCAGCAAGCCAAGGTAAGCCATTCCCCCCCAGTTTTTTAACTTGGATTTTTAACAGAAATACATCGAGGATAAGACCAGAAAAATATACAGACATATAACACAAACAAGGTTTCAGAAACATCTGGGGTTACATTAGTTGGCTGCATATTCTGGTCCCCAGTTGGATACAACAGCAAAAGCAGTCTATCATCAAAGCCTAAGAATGCAAATGGCCACAATGACACAGTATATGGTGAATTGTGTTTGCTGCATTTTTCAAATAAAATACATTGCAACTTATTGTCAATTAAATTTTCATTAAATTATAGTGTCAAATGCTTTAATATAACAACATCTTATTCCCTTTCAGGAGAGAGATGCCATTGAGATGAAAAGTACTCTTGTAAATTGCTGAGGCTGAGTACCACAAATAGTTTTTCCAATATGCTCCTAAGATCTATGGTGTATTAGCTTAGATTATAGTGCCATGCACTGAAAAATCTATATTACAGTGGAAGGTATTCATCATGACTTTTTTTTTTTTTTTATGTAGTCAAAGCCAAAATCCATTTAAACTCAAGCTTTAATCACCCAGAGTCAGAAGTTAGGAGGAATGGAAAGTGAAATTGGTTGAAAGGGACCTCTTGTCATCACTATAGTTTGAACTGTACCTTTCGCCCCTCACTCATTCTTTGTTTGTGCATTCTTTCAAGTGATAGTTACCAAAGGAAATCTTTGTGATAGAGCTGGTCAATTTTTTTTTTGGTGAGAAACTGAAAGGAAATAAACTATATTTCTCCTGTTATATAATGTTCTCCTCCTTTTTTAGACTTTTCCCCCTTGAAAAGAAGTGAAATAATTTGAAAAATAGAAAATTTCATGGGAAAAAAAAAAACTCTTACTACTTCAAAGACTGCAGAGGGAAATAGAAAATACAAAACCCCTTTTTAAAACTCAATCATTTCTAAAATAGACTCTTAGCAACATAAAATACATAATGGTATAAAGGCTATTAATGTCTAACAGCAGATCTGTGGGATGACTAGCTCAACTCCTTCATGTGTGCCTCATGTCATGAGTAATGTTGCCATAAAAATCAAAGCTTTATATCACATTGGATACATTTCTTTCAGCTATAATATACATGAAAATCTCTGTGTGTGCATCAAGCTTGTACACAAATGTTACCTCCCACTTCATATCCAATGTTCTGGATTTTTTAATTGTGCTAAGACGACTCATTGCTAGCACCACTTGGTCCATCATCATATAGTGCAGCAGTTGCACTAAAGGCTGGGGAAGATATGGCCAACATATTCCACTCCTTTATTCTTAGTGGACAGACAGTCCCTTTGGGATGACTAGTGCCATCCCAAAGCTGACGTAACGCATCCTGCACCAGTGTCACATGAGGCTGCAACTTCCTAACAAACATGTTCTCTGCTGAAACAAAAGGTCAGTGCTGTAGCCAAGAATCGTAACACATACATTTTTGGAGCATACTACATAAAAATTCTATTTCTCTGTGTAACACATACTGATTGCTCTCTTTGAAGCAAATGTTTAAAACCAGCTGTTCAGAATAGAATTTCAGCATGCTGTGTCTTGCTGAAGCCTGTTCTGTGCCCCACAGCAGATGCTCAGTTCCTGGAATGATCAGATTCAGAATTTGGGCCAACTCCCACCCCTAGCCCTCAAACCATGGTCCAAAATACCATACATAAGTCTGGCCTATTATTTGTCATTGTTTATTACTTGTATTTTAGTATCAGCACTGATAGCCCCAAGCATTGACAATTCATTGAGCAGGCTAACCCCCGCCCCATGAAATAATAATAATTAAAAAAAACCCACAGAAAGACAATGATTTGGGTTCATTTTATTTGACTTGTGCTTTTTGAGCCATCATAGTTTGTGTTTCTAAGCTTTCCTCTGAAATGAAGATGAGAAATTCCTTGTTCTTTTAAATGAAAATGTATATTCTTGCATAATCACTCAGGTCTAGGATCTGAGGGTAAGAAAAAAATCCAAATATCATTATGCTTATGATAAAAAATGCAATTTGACTACTCTATGCAATACCACAATGCTGTAGTTCTTATGAAGCATATAAAAGATAGTTTCCATATTTTAAAGTGACAATGGCAGCACATCCTAAAATAAAGCACTTTTATTATTTGGGCCCAACCCTTTACCTGAACAAAGATTGGGCTCTTTGCTAATCTCTAAGTATATTTGTTACAGCCTCTTACCTTAAATACATAGTTTGTTGGAAGAACATCGAATCTCATTTCATTCACAGTCATGCTCAGGGGAACTACATAGTTTCGATTTCAAGGAGGCAGGAAGCTTTCTTTAGAAGCTTTCATTCCTGTTTAACAGGTTTAGTGAGCTGATGACTCTCTCCCATTTCTTCCCCCAGGGAAATCTCAAGTGACAAGAATGAGAAATGGGTTGTTCTTCTATTTGCTGTCTTCATGCTGTTTGGGAACCCTCGTTTTAAAGATACTGCTGAAACACCTTACAGAATTAAACTTACTCTCTATATATAGTGTATGTGTGTGGGTGTGTGCGTGCATAAAAATCAAGGTGCACTTCCCAACTCAGAGGTCTCAGAAAAGCTCACATTTAGAAGGACTTCTGCATTGCAATAAGATTCAGAAGTTTCCACTTTCAGCAAGATCATGCAGCTTATAGGTCAGTTTGCATCACTGACATTATAGCTTGAGAGGAAATCCTGCCTCTTGTAATCAGGAATGGCTGATACCTCTGCCACATGGTCAGCTAATAGAGAGGGCTCATCTCAGTAGGGGATTCCTGCTCTGCATTTTTCTAGTAGAGTCAGACAGGCCAGGTGGGGAACCTCACCTATGCTAGCCAGAAAATTTGGCCCCATGCAGGGGAGACCATGTTGTTTTCTATCAAAGAGAGAAACAGAGGTTGGTTGCTACAGGCAAAAAGCTTCACAGAGACTGTACATACTCATACTTCACATTGCAGGACTGTGCCTTAAAATGTATAGCTCATCTAACTTATAAACATGTTAAGAATTCATGTTAAACCTAGAGCTTAATCCATTGCAAAGTTTTACATGAATAAAAATAATTTTCTTAGGGAATGTATGATACAGTACACTAAACAATGTTTTGCTTAGGAGAGGTCATGCAGCATTACTGAACACATGAGGTTAAAGTGTTTAAGGTTAGTCATTAATTACAGCTATCTTCTACCTGATAGCAACTAAACAGGATATGAAATTGAACATTATAAAGAAAACTTTGCCCTGGAACATTTTTAAGGCTGTTGAGGAAATAAATGGGAGGCCACTGCATTTATGCAAGGACAAAAATTTGAATTGTATTTTATTGTCATTGTTTATTACTATTATTAATACATTATTCCTGATCATACCTTCACCACTTAATAGTGGATATGAAGCTGGGTGAGAGGTCATCCCCTGGCAGTGGGGAACTTAACATCATAGATGAGATCTGATGATTTTCTCTGTTCTCCTCTCTCCCCAAATTTAAAGAAAGTGAACAAAAGACCCTCTGCTGGGACTACCCCTCTTCTCACATCCAAAAATGTTGCTGGTCCAGAGCAGTTTATTAAATTACAATTAATTAACACAAATGTATTACTTTTAATAACATTTATTTTAAAATAATTTATTAAGGAAAGACACAATCATGATTTTACTTTTGACCTTTTTTCTGTGTAAAAGATAAATGTGGTAAAATCCCAGCTGCCGATAAAGACTAAAGAGCTTTGTTTATGCTCTAAAGTGAAATACAGGCATATTCCACAAAGTCAGCTTTTCATCCTTTGTCACTTCCATTCTCTTGCCAGCAGAGTATCTGCATAAAATGTTCACATGCAGAGGGCCAGCACTAGAATATCTCTACAATTTGTGGAGTCAAATTTAACAAAGCTCACACCAGACTAAGGATTTTTTTCAACAGCCTACTTTCAATTCAAGTTGTTGTTCTTTAGTGCCACCTACTGTCACAGTGCATCAAAACTGATGAAAGAAACATGAACCAGAAAACAACATTCAAAGGAAATTCTTATATCTCACCCTGTCCAAAGACTGTCCTTTTAGGAAAAGTATTATGGTAGCTGAGACACTGCTTTGTAAGTCCTGTGATATTATTTTGCTTGAATTAGTATTTTTATGTATTGATGCATGTAGTCAGGTACCTAGGATACCCATTGGGTAAAACAGGGTGCCTAATCCTATGCGTGCCATTCCTTTTGAACTGCAGTTTGGGATGAAAAAATGATCAAGTGCAACACATTATTATTGGTAAAACACACATAGGTTACTAAGATGTGGGCCATGGATAACTTGGTTACATTGTATATGTATCCTCCTGTCTCTTCCTCTAAATTGTAAGCTTCAAAGAGAAAGGACCTAGATTCTCTCAACTGTATGACAAGGACATTAGTGGAAATAACTAATGATAACATCAAGAAAAATACAAGTACAAGCCATTGCAAGAACATGATTGAGCCATAAAGGAAACGGATGTATTACCCACTTAAGTTTGTGGGAGACTTTTGCTTGAGAGGGCAGAAAGGTTTTTTTGATTCTGAAGAGCATAACCCTATACATACCAGCCCAGCCTCTGGATTCTTTACTTTTCATTCCATCCAGGACAAAGGGTTTTTGAACTTGAAAGCTTGCTTAAAAAATGTTTTCCAACTATTTAAGTTGGTCTAATAAAAGGTATCAGATTCACCCAAAGAACCTTGTCTGCTTATGTCCTTAGACCAACACGGCTACAACCTACACCACTGTAGCCCCATATAGTCATTCAGCTGAAGGGCCAAAACTTCACTGGCAAAGAAAAGAAATGTGTATATTTTACTTTACCTAGAATAATTTCCTGTACATTTCTTACATGCTCTCAATACAAAGCAAAGTTACAAAATCCATGTTCAATATTTGAACAATGCTGCTTTGAAAGCCATGCCCTGCAATATGCAGAATTAGTAAGGACTGAACATTTTAGACAATGGATGTTAATCCCTCCTCTTGTTTTCTTATTTTTTGTACTTTGAACTCTACAAGGAAACTAGCATTTATTATGGAGTGGTTCATTTATCATTGGTATGAATGACTCCAGCTTAAAAAAACAAAACAAAACAAAACAAAAAAAATAGATTCCAAGAAAGTGAATATAGAAATGCAAAACAAAATTGGCACATATATCCTAAAGATGGAATTTAAATGAAAGAGGCATGACAGATTCAAGGAAAGCTATCTTAGCAGATTTGAAATATCACGTTATATAAATGTATGTACTGTTTCAGAAAGGAAGAGATCCAAGTAAGAAGGCTTCAGAGTAAAAACCAAACTCCTGAAGTTCAGGAGTGTTTGATCAATGGTTTTGATTCAGGGCTATTTCTATACCATTGTGCTTTTGTTTTTATTTCTCTTACCTTTTGTGGTTGTTGACAGTGTTTCTTTATGTTGTTCTTCTCACATCACTCAGTCCAGTGTGTCTGCTCAATGGCTTTCTGTGAAATTCAGCTTTGTCATTCTAGTGCACTCAGAGGAATTTGTTGACCTTCTGTGAATTGTTCATATCATGTACTGTACAAATATAAAACATGATCTTGTGATACCAACATAGTGTTAAGACAAGCTGCACAGCAATTTCTGCAGACTATTTTCCATGCAAGACCTTGTAGGTCCAATACTTTCCTATAACCCTTAATATGCTGGATCTACCCATGAAAAGAGCTGTAAAGCTGAGCAGTAACATAATGATGGTGGGGGGTGTAGCCAGGCAGGAGCCCTAGGCAATACTTAAGTGGGAAAAGGGAACCAGAATGGAACTATGCAGACACCTCATCCCTGTCCCGCCCCATGCCCTCTGTATAACTAATGCATCCTCTTTAAAACCTATTTTCATCCCTTATTTTAAAAAAAATTAACCAGCACCATGTAAACCATGTGCATCATCTCTTGCAAACCAACAGGAGAGAGGTAGATATAACTGAGCGTAAAACCACAAAGCTAATTTAACTGCATATTTAGGATGACTACCCATGCCAGAATGGTGTTCGTTATTAAAACTTTTTTTATTAAAAACTTTACTTGCATTCCATATGAGGTGCAACAACAGTTTATTGTGATTTAAAAAAAAAAAATATAACTGATTTGAAGGAACTGCTTGGTTTAAATATTCAGATCAATATGTGATTTTACACATTTGTTATGCAAGCATAAGTTTGTGGAAAAAATTGTCAGATTATTTGAGAGACTGAGAGATCATAATTAAAAACTGTCTTAAAAGTAATAATCGGAGTAGACAGAAAATTGTTACAAGTTAGTCATTTTAAGTGTTTAGGGAGTGAGATATACAATGGTAATAATATTTTACTAGATGTCATACAATGAATGGCAAGCTGGCAGCGAACAGCTTATATAAACTTGAAAAGATTTGGGCAAGTAAAATGATCAGGACTGGTATCATGTCTGATGGAGTCATAGAGAAATAGGGATGAAAGGGACTTCCAGAGGTCATCTAGTCCAACCCCCTGCCTAAGGCAGATCATCTCTATCCAAACCATAACCTAAACTCTACATAAGACTGCTGTCAACCCTGACATAGCACATACCTAACACCCTAATCTGCCACATGTAAAGCAGGGGACTACAGCAACTCATGTCCTGCTTTTATGAAATGTTGTCAATATATTGTCAAGAAGCCCTGGGTAGAGCCCCTCCCCACCCCCCACCCCCCGAGGAAGGCAAAATACCTCCCCCCTACCCCTACCCCTGGCCATACCAATCTGAGCATGGAGTAAAATTCCTTCCTGACCTGAAATACAGTGATTGGTTTGATCCTGAGCAGGGAGGGCAAGGCCCTCTAGCCAGGAACCTCTGGCTTTTACACCAGCAGAAGGATTGGCAGACCTCAGTCAAAGATCCCAGCCTTGGCTGTAGCCAGCAGCCAATATCTCTGGGAAGGCTTAAAAACACCCTGACACACACATATAGTAGGGGGAGGGGTAAACTAGGAAAGCCCAGATGTATGAGAAATTCCCATGGTAGAACATAGGCTTAGCTATGCTTAGATCATCCCCAACCAGTGGTTATGCAACCTCTTCTTGAACACCTCCAGTGACGGGTAGTCAACTTCCCTAGGCAGTCTAATTCCATTGCCTCGCTGTTCTAACAGTGAAGAAGTGTTTCCAGCTATCCAATCTAAATTTACTTTTCTGTAACTTCCAGCCACTGCTCTGCATCCTCATCCCTGCAGCAAGAGAGAACAGGTGCTTTCCTTCTTGTTTATAGCACCCCTTCAAGTATTTGAAAACTGCTATCATGTCCCCTTGTCTGCCTTTTCTGCAAGCTGAACATGGCTACCTCTTCAGCCTCTCCTCATAACGCTTGCTTTCCAAGCCCTTTATCATCTTTGTTGCCTGCCTCTGGACCCTAACTTCTCCATATCCTTTGTAAAATTTAGGGCCTGTAATTTTACACAGTACTCCAAATGAGGCCTAACCAGTGCTGAGTAGAGAGCCTCTATCACCTCCACTGCCTTGAATCTAATGTTTCTGTTGATGCATCCCAAAACTGCATTCACTATTTTTGCAGCTGCATCATGTTGCAGACTTGTATTGAGTCTGTGGTCTACCAAGATTCCCAAGTCCTTTTCCCTAGTACTGCAATCCAGCCAGATGTCACTCATTTTATATTTGTGGCTGTGATTATTCCTCCTGAAGGGTAGCACCTTGCATCTTGTTAGCTCCAGCCCAGCTTTCCAATCTGTTGAGATCTTTCTGAATTGTGTTCATATCCACAGCATTTACAATCCTTCAATGTATTTGCAATCCTTCCCAATTTCATGTCATACACAAACTTGCTTAAGCAGCTTTCTCTGCTAGCATCCAAATCATTAATTAATGTGTTGAACAACACCAGACTGCACACAGACCTCTGTGGGACTCCACTTAAAGCCTCCTGCCATTCTGACATGGACCTGTTAATAATTACCCTTTGCTTGCAGCTATTTAGCCAGTTATCTATCCACCTTGTAGTAGTTTTATCTAGCCTACATTTCTCCAGTTTGTTTATGAGAAGGTCATGCAAAACCTTGTCAAAAGCCTTGCAGAAGTCCTCCTCTTGTGGAGCAGTCCTAAAAATCCAGAATGGAAACAAGAAGCTAACTCATGCCAAAGTATACGTCTGTTGAATATTCTCAGAATTCATTGAAAACCATTACTTACAATGTCAGAAACTCCGTAGAAAGCAATCAACTCAAAACATCAACTAGAGCGTAACAACCCTGGATATGCATTGGATGAGCTTTAAAAATACCATCATTGTTACTTACATGTTAAGTGATAACAGACATACCACCTGGGAAGAGAAGAGGGTAACCCAGAGAAATGTTATATAAAAGAATAGATAAATAAGTGGAAAAACCTGAGTAGAACAATGTCAGAAACTAGGACATGTCATCAGCACCTGATATCATGTTAGGAAAAAGAAAAAAAAAAAAAAAAGAAGAAAGCTTACAGAACATTCACGTAGCAAATCACTAGATGAAGGATGACTTCCAATGTTAGATTTCATAATTCCTGAATGTTAGACTCAGCCAACATAACTTTAACGTTATCCTAGCATAACATTCTGGATAAAATTTCCTAGGTGAAGTAAAAAAAAAAAAAGAAAGAAAAAAGAAAAGTAGGAGGAAACCAGCCATCCTATTCTGAACTTGCAGCCCTGTTCAGGGTTGGTGAAGGCATGAAGAGCAAAGGTAGGGGTGTCTGCAGGCTGGAATGCCTGCATACTTCCTGTCTTGGAAAAATTGCTATTGCAGCAGTAGAAATAAAAACTTGTCCATGGCTTATATGACCACCCCCATTCCCATTCTTCTAATGGGAATGAGAAACATAGATCTAGCAGAAATTTTTGGCTCTGAGCCTTTGCCCTGTTACAGAGAGACTTATTGAGAAGTGACAGTTGTGCCATTTACAATCTCAAAACAGATTCATAAAAAAGTTAACTGCAATTTCTTAAACAATTTGGATTTGACTTACTACCTGTTTAGTTATCCATAGGTTTAAAAGCCCCCAAACCTAGAAATTCCAGTGCATGTCTGAAAGTCTGGCTTTAAGGTATCCCGCACTGAAGCATTCTGGATTTCCATTATATAATGTAAGATATCATGTATGCAATACTGTCTTTTCAAAGTCTAGTGTCACAGTGTATTGGAAATGAACCACCATTTTCTTTAAAAGAAAAGACTAGAAAATCTCTGATGGCACAAATTACAGACATTGCTTTGATTTCCAATAATGACATTGCTGATATGTATTGCCCAAGTACCTGTACATACATTTTTTCATTTGTTGGATAAAATCCCTAAAGTTACTGCCAATGAAAACATGTAAGAAGTTAAAATATTTAATTGTGTAACCCGTTTATGGAGTTACAGTTTTACGTACATTTTTAGCTTGGGCTAAAAATAAGCTTTGTTTTGGGGGACTGTGCATTTATTGCTGTTTGCAATGGTTAATTTGTAACATCTCAGAATTGTAATGCAACCCTAGCTGAAGTTGAGACAACGTAATATGGAGGTTGTAACCTTTTAAAAATCCATCTTACTGCAAGTTAGAAACAATGACATGATTCTCCACCAAGTCATCCTTGTGCTCTGTCCCTGAAATCAGTGGGATTTATGAAGCCCTCATACTCATATCCATCTTATGGAGCGATCTATTGTAACCATGTTAACAAATGTGGTGATATTTGTAAGAGAGACAAAACCCTTTAGAAGCACAAACTTTTCCCTGCTAAATTTCAAGTACATTTCTTAAATATATAGCACAGTGGTTCTCAACCTTTTCAGAATCAGGGCATCCTCACTGTTTTTCAAATGTGGGGACAGCCTCAGTTGAGAACCACTATTGGTGTTGTCTCCGTTTACTTCAGTGCTTCTCAACTGGGTGCTGCTGCCTCCAGGTAAAACTGCTGTGTGTGCCTGCTGCACAGGCAGCCCAGGAAGGGTTGTGGACCATGCGCGCATTCCTGTCATGTTACGGCTCTCTGATAACTCTAAAACATTGTAGGAGAGTCTGCTCAAGCTGTAATCCTTCCTGGTCTGGCTCCCCCGCAACATACTTCTCCCGGAAACAAAGGCACAAGGATGGAACTGCCCTGCACTCTTCTGCTTCTGGGAGGAGTATTGGAGGGAGAGGGCACAGGCTGGGAAGGGCTACAGCCCAAGCCAGCTCTCCTGTCACACTTTAGGGTTACCAGAGAGCCCTAATACAGCAAGAGTGTGTATATGCCACAGCCCCACACATAGGACACTTTTAGCTGGCTGTCACCATGGTGGCAACACTTGTACTGCAGCAACTCTAAAGGAGTCTTGTTGAACCCCAGTTGAGAACCACTGATATAGCACTTTGCTGTTGAATCCACATCTACATCATCATTTGTTAGTTCCTTGAATTCCTTCAAAATTCCTCTGGAGGGCACTATTACCATAACTATACAATTAGCTACAGACAGTTGTAATAGACTAAATAGCCTTGTTGACAGCAGACCAAATGTCTTTTAACCAGAATTTTTTTTTAGTGCTGCTTTGGTTTCTCACTGTCTTTGCTACATATGAAAAATGAGTGCTGGGCACAGAATGCCAAAGTGGAATAAAAAGTATATTTAAAAGGAGTTAAAATAAAATAAAATAAAACAAAATTCTTAACAGGCAGCATCATCCATGCTCTCTCTACTAGAACATGATGCACCTCTCAGAGACTTCAGATTCAAACACTGTTCCCCATGAACAGTCCACATAGCCAAATTGTGCTGGAGAAGTACTCCTCTTCTACCTTGACTCCAGGGCCTTAGTAATTTCTCTGTGGTCATTAATCTAGCATTAGAGGAGGAAGTGGTATCTATATTTAACCTCCTCTTTAACAGCAGAGTAGCCTGTATTGGCAAGGCCATCTATGTCCATGAAAGAGTGCAGGATGTCTATCTTAGATACAGGGGAAGGATTTTTGTGGGGAGAGGAAAGATATTTTTCTAGTATATCAGGTCTTGCAAGTTTTTAAGAACAAGGAAGAAATGAGAAACATACTTCATCATTTACCTGAAAAGGTAAGTTAAAAAGGGAAGAGAAAAACCCACGAACTTTGAAGTGAACACTCAGATTTAACCCTGCTCTCATGTGCATTAGAATATTATATAATTGCATAACATTATTTCTCCGGGTTTCCCCTCTTAGTTTTTGTAGGGTTCTAAGTAGTGAGATGTCAACCTCAGAAATACTGAGCCTTAAATTCTGGATTAGAACAACTGGAACCAAAGTAGACAGCAGCTACTTGTCTAAGCACATGATCTTATTTTCTTCACTCTCTCTTCCTACCACAACTCCTACTGTTACATTTACTTGTTGCATCTTATTTCCAATTAGACTGTAAATCCTTGGGTCAGGGATCTTTGAGCTTGTGTGTAGCATGCATCTCAGCAGGACTAACTACTAATTAAGTCTTCTGGCACTACCATAATAGAACTACTATAAAAAGTCTTTTATAATAATAATCCATCCTACCAAGAAACAATTTAGAAAGGGATTGCCTTAGAGTACATCAGGTCCCCGCATTTATATTTGTCTATGTGTAAGGTGCAGCTAGGCTCTATTAAAATAACAAAAATAATAAAAAACACTTTGGTTTCATTAGAAGTGTAATTATTAAAAAACTTTCCTTTGTCTTATTATTATTTTCCCCTCCATTTAATCTTTAATTCACCATTTCTAATAGTTAATGAAAAGAATGTATATCCATCACTTTCTTGTAGCTACCTAGAATCTCATTCCCTTGTTTGTCACATTTGTATTCACATGCTGCAAATATTGGATTTCTTCTAATCTTTATCCTCCAATAACAATTGAAATGTTTTGTTTCGGACAACAAGAAAAGATTCAAAAACAGAGTTACATGAAGTTTTCAAGAAGATTTAGGGAGAGGGAAAAATGACAGGTCAGATTTTGGGTAAACCAACCTTGGCAATGTCCTTTTGAAGTACTCCCCAGGTAGCTTTAACTTTTGAAACCAGTACTTGAGCAGCAGCTTACCCCATGGGTCCAGTCAGCTTGGCAGGATGACAGAGGTCAACAATTCACATGAATGAACAATTTCTCCCATATATAAAGCAGGCATTCAATTCTCTCTCCTCTTACCTGTCCTTTAAAAAGTTTAAACTGAGACTAGCATAGGTACCATGCACAATGCAATGAAAATCCCACTTTCTATTAACCCTTTGAACCCTTGTGATAAAAGTCCTTCTCATGGTAATTTTAAACTGAGGCCCCCCCCAACACATACACACACTTCCCATAACTACTGCAGAGTGTATACAGAAAACCTGATGCTCTTGCAGATGTTTGGCTGGGGGAATTTTCACATCTCTCTGACCTACATGGTTTAATGCATAGCTACTTACATTCATTAGAATAGATGCATTTCAATAAGGCAGAAAAACAGAGGCCTACCTAGGCAGTTTTGTGTTCAGGGCAGCGGTAGTGCTCAGGGCAGTAGCTGGGCTGCTAGCAATGATGCCAGGCCAGCAGTAGCTGTAGCTGTTATTTATGTATTCCCCCAAGTTGGTACCTGGGGATGGTGCCTCACCCACCCTCCCTTAGTAATATTGTGGCAGAAAAACTTTGCAGGGTAATGAGATACTGTGGCTGAAAAGCATGTGCAGAAATTAAGAATTGAAGGGCCCAAAATCCCAGCATCATAAACCAATATTTTGTGTTACGTGGCCTTTCAGCAAGTTGCAACCAAAGCACTAGCAAATGCATACACCTATTTAAGTAAACTCACAAAGCCATGAACTTAAATTGCAATCAGCCACTCATCTCTAGAAATGGGAAGATATGTGGCATCTCAGCTGATATTAGCTGAGAGGTCAAGGTATACACAGGCATAGAGACTGAACTATTCTCTCAGAGGCATTTTCTAGGTTTTTAGAAGCAACTTAAATAGATTAAGAACAAAGATTCATTGAGTTTTGGTAAGATCTGTGTTTCTAAGTCACTTAGGCACTGCCAAATATTCCACACGGCCCCTTCAGAAAAAGGCTGAAGCCCATTAAAGAGGCTTGGTAAGGAAAACGTACCTCTATCTGTCCATGCTATATTGATTTATAGATAGAGGACTTGAGCTTCCTGAGATAAAAAACTTACATCAAGATTTGTCCAATGAGCTGGAGCATTCTGACCTGTCATTTGGACTGGGTCTACAGGAATAGGTATCTGTGCACAAAATATTCAACAGAGTGTATGCTTACCTATTACAATTAGCACCTGCTAACTTTAAGAAATGTTAGATTGCTAGGAAAGTTAACACATGCTGGGAGCAGTGGCATGTTCAGGATTCTGAATGTAGAATATCCACATTCACCTCTGCAAGGTGCACAGCCCTGAGCTGTCACTAGAGGGCTGGCAAGAAGGGGTATGAGTGACAGCTCTCAAATTTGATTCATGCCTTCCCTACTTGCCAGCTGTCTAGCATTAACACACAGAAATAGGCCTGTGTGAAGTGGCTAGTATTTGCTTCAGATTTGGCCAATTCAGGGGACAGTGATTTGATTCAGTGATTTGAATCACTGTCCCAAATCAATTTGGCTGAATCTGATTCGGAGATTTGGCTTCTGCTGAATCTGTGAATCACGTAGGCCCCATCCCCCACCCACTCTCCCAATTCCAGCAATGGCTGCCCTGCCCGACCCAGCTCCCAGCATATTGAAAAAAAGCCACAACTCACTGGTGCTGCTGGTGGGGGGTGGGGACGATCCCCACTACCCCATGCTGCATGGGGGGGCTCTGCATTAGCCCCCCCAACTCCTCCCCACTGTCCCAACCCCCCATGGCTGTCCTGCCCACTCCAGCTCCAGCCCTTAAAGAAAAAAAAAACCAACCCCCCCTGAACTGACCAGTTCTTGCCCTGCAGGGGGGATCCCCACTGCCCCCCACCACTTGGGGGGGCTCAGGGAGCTCTTCCATGAACCCCCCAAAGCCACTGCAGGAGCTGTTGAGACCAGGTTTTTTTTCAGGTTTCTTTTCTTGAAGGGCCAGATCTGGGGTGGGGTGGGCGGGGCAGAGCCATGGCGGGGAAGGAGCTGGGACAGGAGAGGGGGGAGTTAGGGGGCTCATGGCAGAGCCCCCCATGCAGCATGGGGCAGTGGGGGGGGGGGCAGCAGGGATTGCCCCCCACGGCTGGGCAGCACATGATGATTCAGAGCTTCTTTTTAAAGCACTGGGAGCTGGGCCAGGCAGGGCAGCCTTGTGGGGTGGAGGGCCTGGGGGAGTTAACAGGGACCGGGGGGCTGGGGGAACAGGCAGGGGGATGGGGCCTTACAGGGGTCCCCCTTGGTGCAGCCCCCCCTCCCCTGCCCCCTACTTACCAGCTCCGAGTCTGGCTCCAGTTCCCTGCTGCAGTGGGCGGGGACTGCCTGAATAATCAGTCTCCTAATCTTTTCCGAAGATTCAGAGAGCTTTAAATCAATTCAGACCCTTTTATTGGTCCTGATTCAATTCAGAATTGGAGATTCAACCACCAAATTGGGCCAAATCTTCTCCGATTTGAATCAGCCCCTGAAGCTTTGTACAGCCCTAGTGGGAAGCCTCTCTCCTCACCCCCTCCCCTATCACTGCTGGGTAGCACCTGGAGATGCACACTGGGATTACACACACACACACATACTGCCGTTCATGTGTGTAGTGTGCTGTGCATTGTGTAGGCAAATGTGGTGTGCATTTTGTGCATTGTGTATTGTTTTGTGGATTGTGTATCATGTGTTGTGTTGTGCTGTGCTGTGCTGTGCTGTGCTGTGTGTGTGTGTGTGTGTGTGTGTGGTCTCCAACCCCAGCAACTCCCCTCCTTTCTCCTCTACTTGGCCCACTCTGTCCTCCCCCTGCAGCTCCTCTCCCTACTCACCAGCAGCTGCTCTGCTGTCCAGGCAATCAGGGAGGGGTGTGGGTGGGAGCAGGGGGAGAGGCAGTGCCTTCTGGGATGCTGGAGGACTAATTTGAACATTTGATCTCCCCTGAACAATTAGTGGCTAAGCAAAGTTGAGCTTGTTTACACAATTCAAAGAAAATCCTCACTTCAACTGGCGTAACTTTAAGACAATACAGGGCACTTAGCACTAGTTAACAAGCATGACTTTGTGATTCTACATGTTTTAAGAGTCCTTAACAAGGTTTAATTGTAACTACTAGTCTCACCCTGGTGCCACAATAGAACTGAAGTTCAGGATTTACCATTACTTTACATTTTTCTTTAGATACTTAGGTTCAGATCTTCTTGTCTATACAAGTTGCATCTGATACCAGATGGGGACTGTGGAAGTTACTTTAAGGCAATATTGTAGTCCCACAATTATGAGGCCAAGCACTCTTGGTTTGGACCTCTGCAGGGGGAGCAAGGGCCATTACAGTAGCACAGCTGTTATGGGGACTAAGAGATGCCAAAGCCTGATCCTGGTCATCTTTCAGATGAAGCGCTGCAAGACATTTCTCTTTGAACAGGCATTTAGCAACCAACGCTAGGTCGAGGTATTGTTGAGTGGATTTCAGCTATATTTTATTTATACCAGTTGTCCTTTTATGTTGTTCTGTTTCTTTTAGTGTAAGCTGCCCTGAGTCTGTGTTGGGAGGGGTAGCATATAAATTGCAGAAATAAATAAATGCCCAGCATACCCTTCAAGCTGAGGATTGGTGTAGGAATGATTCAACTAGACCTCTTCCATTCAAGTTGCAGTAAAGCTGAGTTTATTAGAAGTCTTAAAGAAAGTGGCAGGCTGTTGGTTATCCAAATATCTCAGCATCAACAGCATTTGGAAAGCTTGGGTCAGAGAACACCACAACTGTGTCATGCCATGGAGGAAGCATGGTCTAATTTCTGTCAGTTTGCTGTTGACCATGCTGGTAAGGTTTCCTAAGCCATGACCCTATGACTGAGAAAACTTGATGCAGAATTATTTACATACACATGTGCATGTTCATGCACACAAACAGAAGAAATTATACTGGAACTGTAGGCAGTGCCATACCACAATGCAAAAATGACTGAAGAATTAGTATTTAATTTGCATAGCAGAGTGTTTGCTTCATCAGGTTTTTTACTGATGCTGAATGCTTTTAATTGTGCTGCCCCTTTATTTTTCCTCCTTTGAAATTTGACTTACTAAAACCAGCTTTACAGAATTTCTTTCTACTTTCAGGTTGTTGAACTTTTCCACTGTGCTCCAAAGCTGCTGCTGAAATATTAATATAAAGCTGGAGAAAATGTCTTGATGGTAGTTACTTCTTGTTGAAACAGACAAGCAGCATTCAAAACAGGAGTTCCAGTTTTGTAGAAACACCCTGTAGATTCTACTACAAAATGATATTCTTGCCACAGTCTGTGAAAGTAAGGATGGAGTTTTGGAGACCTTGCCCAAAAAGGAAAAAACCCATGCAGCTAAATATCAGTTGGAATTTTTGGTCTACAGCAAATGCTGTTCCCATGAACTCAGTTTTGCAGGGCATTAAGAATTTAGAAAGTAAAACAGACAAAAAGGGTGAAATCCCAGCCCTACTGAAATGTATGGGGCTTGTGCTATTGACTTCAATAGGGCTAGGTTTTCACCCCAAGTGCCTATATTGAAAGTCAAACCAGAAGCATTTGACACAAAATTTAATCCTTTAATGGCTTAGGTTAGTCAATACTCAGACTGAGCCTAGCTGTAAAGTGTGGATAATGATACTGACTTCCCTTGCAAACCTCCTTGAGTTCTACAGCGGAAGGACAGGATATGAGTCGAGTATTAGGGATATTTTATTGCAAGATTGAAATAGTTGAGAATATTTCTAAAAAAAATACTATTTTGAGGTTAAGTCTTTGGAGGGGTTAGCCCTAAAGCAACACCACTTTTTCTATTAAAATCCATTTTGAATAGGAAAAATTAAGCCTTCTGTACAAACCATGGCTTTTTCATATCCCTTTTTAAGTTTTTTGGCACATAAAGCTACTCATGATAGTAGTTCTGATCCTTGACAATTACATTTTGTCACATTCTAACTATGACATTTTCATCGGCAGAAGATAAATGCTGCACGAGAATGGCAGAACGTGGGGGTGTAAGCAGGCTGCATGCTAGCTCCCACCCAGATGGGCTTTGTTCCTTCAGCCAGTCCAAACAATAGTCAATAACATAAACAGTAACCTTTGACCATACAATACAACAAGCAAGCAAAAGCAAAACCATTTGGCCTTCCTCTAGGCAGAAGGTGAAGATCCTCTAGCTCTGGCCCTCCCTAGAAGTGAGCTCTTTTAAATTGCATTCTGTCTCTGGGCCAAAGATTGCTACTTCCCGAATTTAAGCTGCTTGCTCTGCCCACATTTTGCCTTTTAACTCCCAGCTAATTTTCCGCAGCTGGGCTTCTGCCCCAGGGCTGACTACCCCACTTAAATGGCCATGCCATCCTGGTACTGGGAGGAAAGATGATTTCATATATAATGGAAAAGTGGATCCAAATCATGGTGAAGCAGCGTGGTATAATGGAGAAGGCACAAGACTGGGAGTCAGAAGATTCAAGTACTATTCCAGGCTTTCATAGCCCTATTGGGAAATTCAGACATGTGCCTGCTTTTCCTATCTCCCTTTGTTTGGGAGTTTTTAAAGTAGGAGTTAGGAAGGGCTAACCCTAACGCACTGCCCCACACTGTGTGGGGGGCTCTACCATGAGCCCCCTGACCCCCACCCACTCCCCCAGCCCCCCTGTGGCTGGCCACATCATCCCCCTACCTGGCAGCACCCTGCGAGCCGGGAGTTTTTTTTCAAAGTGCTGGGACCTGGGCCAAGTGGGGCAGCCATTGCCAGGGCTGGGAAAGTGGGCGGGGGATGGGCCTGGGTGATTCAGAGATTTGGCAGTAGCTGAATCTCTGAATCAGATTCAGCTGATTCGATTTGGGACAGTGATTCAAATCACCAAACTGAATCACTGTTCCCCAAATCGGCTGAATCTGAATCCAAAGCAAATATTAGCCGCTTCACACAGGACTAGAATTAGGCATCTAAATACCTCTGAAAACTTAGTTTAATTTTTTGGGGGACAGAAACATCCTTACTATGTGGTAAGTACTGCTGAAAGAAAATAATAAAGTTTTCTGCCTCAGGGGCTTAGGGTCTCTGGTAACTGTTGGGCCAAATTTATTATTAAAGTTTTTTAAACTTTAAAAGAAGACATAAGCACTAACACTGTGGTATCATTTTCAGGTAAACTTTGATTCTGAGAATCATTTTAATGATCTTGTATTCCAGACACAAGGAAGAAACATAATGAGGGGAATAACTGAAATATTTGTCTACCTCTACTCAAGCATTTAATTTGACTGGTCTGCAATAAAGTAGCTTGAACTCATAGGTACTAAAAAAATAAAGACATAGGCTGCGTCCAAATGAGCACAGCCAGGAGTATGTGGCACTACAGACACATCTGCAGTGCTACATACCACACATTCAGCTGTTCTCCACACTGCAAGCTAGCAGGTTCCCTGTGCAAAAAAAAAAAAAAAGCGGAGCAGGAAATGTGGGGGCATTGTGTGCCACCCAAAACCAGAGCCTACCCAGCCAGAGCCATGCTCCAGCTTCCAGCCAGGCTGAGTGGCAGGATCACTGCTGATGCAGTCCTAGGAGGCCCCCACACCCCCAAGTAAGACTGCTGGGGCCAGCACTTGGCTGGCCTCAGCTTCCCCTACCCTACCCAGGGTAACCTGACATGTTCCCAGGAGGTGCGTGGCATAGGCATTCCCCAAAGACAAGTAGCAGTGGCACAAGGTGTGCTGCTGCTTCTTGTCCCCGGGAAAACAAATGTGGATGCAGCCATAGAGGTTCTCTCAGTATTATAACTACAGTTGGAAGGAAGAAAACAGACCAGGAACAGAAAAGGAAAAAAAGGTGAAGCAGAGTTGAGATGGCAGGTACTGGGTGTTAGGGCACAGAAATAAGGGAAAACAAACAAGTGAAATGGTAAAAAAACATAGGCAAAAAAGGAAGTAGAGAATGAAAGACAAAACATGAGGGTGAGGAGATAGTGATCTAAGCTAGTGCAGCACAGGCAATAAAGAATTTTAAAAGGCAAGAGGAAAGGTGCCGCAGAAGTAAAAAACAGAGAAAGTAGCACAGAGAAAACTATAAATTATGGAAATGGAATACAAAAGAGAATAAGGAAAGCAAAGGGGTTGAAGCAGAGAAACAGAATAGAAAAAGAGACTTCTCCACTGCTGGGGATACTTTTACTTCCAATCAGGAGGCAGCTTGGGACTGACATTTAGTGGATCAGATTTCCAGAAAATAATAAATCTTAAGACCAGTGTGGGCTCCAAATAACTCTGTTACAAGTTGACTTGCAATGCCTTTAGGCTCTCTCCAGGCTAGCTGACTCTTTCTCTTCTGCCTCACTGTTCTAACATTTATGATGACCTTGCTTTACCTCTCTGACTGCATCCTAGCAGTTCTTTTCTTTTCTTCTTTTTGCTTAGTCCCTTTCACCTTGCTTTATATGGGGAACTATGAGCAGCATGTAACCAATCAGAAAGAAGGTCAGTAACAGCAAAAAAGAGAATGTGCCTAGGATAGGTATAGAATGACAGCCAAGAAAGAAAATAAGCAGCACCATGAAGAAACACGACAAGGGGCCATGTAATTCACTATCTTGACTCTAATATTAGTCAAAATGTAAATATTGTGCAACATTGAGGGGGGCAGAATTTCTCCCTGACCACCAATTACAAACCTTTTCTGTTTGTAAAACAATAGGCTACTAATTTTATCTTACCTATTGTTGATACTCAGCTGGCATTATTTAAATTGCTTATTTATAATTGTTTAAGTCTGAAATTACTGTAAATGTAATTCAGAGATTATTACAGGTATAAATTAAGGGAGGAATAGAAGTAAATATGGATTTGACAAGTTGGTTTATATCC